CAGTCATTTTGCTCCACTGAAACTCAGGTGTGCTGATCAATTCTCAACACTGCCATTACAGCAAATACGCAGGGTCAGAAAACACATTACGCATCAGGCAACCATCAAAGTACGGAATACAATTAAACATCAGTCTTTTGCTGCTTTAGATTCACCAAAGTTCAGAAGTTCTCTCTCTCACCCTGCCTTACTTCTGAGTGCAAAGACGGTGACAGTTGCATAGCAATTACATTCTAAAATGTCCTTACTATTATTTCCCTTTGTCTGCAGCCCTTTACGGATTCCTGTTCTTTTATAAAGTACTTATAATGAGGAACTTGCGGCCTGTATTTTTATCTTTAAAAGAGAAGGGCACCATGATCTCTGCCCTTAACAATAACAATGAAAACTCCGAGTTATAAAGAAACTCTGATACATTCAGGAAAGATTCTATACACGTCTGGAAGTAGGCCACAGACGAAAAGGGGGGCGCAGGAAAACACAGAACTTCCTCCTCTTTGAAACCTGCTCTTCTCAGCTTCTGAGCCCTGCTTTTATTTTACTCACTTCACCGCCTGCCTACATAACCAGGCCAGCCTAGCTAAGCCACACACATGCCCGTCATCTTTCTCCTGACCAGTCTCAAGCACTGTTCTTGGCAGCTCTCCAGAAACCAAGAAGAGAAAGACTCTTCAATAGCAGGTGGACTCTTTCCTATTGTCCCATCTGGCCTTATTATTTTAGTATGACACCATCCAAGAAACTGATGCATTTGAAGCACTATCGAGTGCCATTACTATTAAAATGGCTGAATGTAATGGGCCACTTAGATTGGTTTTAAACAGTTTTGTTTTTAAATTCCACTAAGGATCTGATCCCACAGTGCTTATGCTGGGAAAACTCCCAGTGGAGTTATGTATAAATCAATGGGAGATTTTGCTTGATTCCATATTTAAAAGCTCTGTATGTAGAATTTAATTTGCCTTTCAAAACTGAGAACTCATCAAACATCCATGTGCACGTAACAGCCTTATGGAACGTTTCCTTCCGGCACGGGGCTGAAAGGCTCCTACACAGATTCTGGTAGGCAGGGGGTTAATACCTCCCCCTCTCACATTGCCACCCAACTTGCACTTTGCTGACAAAAATGGGTGGATTAGCAAAGCTCCCTATTGGAATATACTAATAGGCTTCCTTAGCAACCGGAAATGATTCCCTGGGCAGCAGAGTATATAAACCAGCGGGAAAGGAGTTGTATGGGAGAGGGGCTGGAATAGGCTGGTGGGTTTTTGTTATTTCTTAGTAGATCAAGAGAGGATGAAATAGGCCTTGTTAGGTTCTGCTTACTTTAGAACTTGGCTGAAGCTAGCCCTGCTTTCTGGGCCAAGCTCTGGTCTCACTGAAGTCAATAGTGAAACTTACACTGGCCTCAGTAGGATCAAGATTCTTTATTTAGTCATGGATAAGGGAAACATTTTACTTGGGACTGCCGCTGAGAAAAGTCGTCTGTGTTTCAGTCTGAGTCTTAAAGTGCCAACATATTTTATTAGAACATTTCTTTTTAAAATAAACTGTCTTCCTCTACTGCTTAACCTCAGACTGAAAGCCCATTGCTTAAACTGCAAGTAACCTAACCCGCCACTTACACTTATGCTGAATCCAGTCCTGTTGAAAACACTACACACGCAGTGACTTATCTCCAACGCATCATGTGAACTCACCCAGCCGTTCAGAGCCAAGCACCTGGTAGTTCAGAGACTGGGAACAAAGAGACACATCCTCTAAATTAAGTTTTTCATAGTTCTAATTTTGAGTGGATGGAATTTGCTCAAGCTGCGTAGTGTCACAATAAGAGCTCTATCTTACTAGAGTCTATCACGTTGGGGAAATATATGTGATAATACCACTGCAACCACAAAAGAATTTACAACAGGAAGCATCACAGCTGTTTCTTATTAGCATTAGTACAAATTACACAAAGCAAATGGTTAGCAGACATGTTTCCATAATATTGAACTCATGGCAATGAATAAAAGTGATTCTTTTTCAAGTACAATTTTAGATTTCCAAGAGAAACCATTTCCAATTGTCCATGAAGGGAGTGTGGATTAGGAAGCAGCATGTAACTATTGCATGCACTCAAAGGAAGTGTCCGCTGTGATTTGCTAGCATTTTCTGGCAAAGCTGTACAGATTTAGAACCATATTTTGTGGGTATGGATTTTCCCATTTCTGCAACCCCGTGTGACCTACTGCAATATTATAAAAAGTGTGACACGTTTTGTGTTCGTGTGCTGCATTCTGGAACTCTTGCACTAAGGTTTGCTTTTGGAAAAGGACACAGTTCTCCTCCACTTTTCCCTCAAAAGGTTTATTGTGAGTTATTTTCCTAATAGTCCCAAGTCCTTTGATACAGAAGAAGCATGTGCCAACAGAGCGTTCTCATAACCTTAACTCCAAAGGGGAGATTGGAGAAAACAGAGAAAACCCCATGTCTAGAAACAGACTCAGTGTACAGAACTGAACACTTCACTGTGGCTTACAAACAATACACAGTGATCCTCTGGACTGGAACACTAGAGGCATGAGTCTCGTCTCTGTTCCACTAGTTTCACACCAGTATAACTATGGACTTGAATAGACTCCCACCTGATTTAGGGCCAGAGTAAAGCCCATTGGGATTCTTTTCTAATGACATGAGTGGGCTTGTGATCAGAAGTAGTGTGAGCAGAGAACAGGGCTGCCGGGTGTCACCCATTTGGCTTGCACCCACACCTCTGATATCCCTCTCACCCATTTGGCAGCCCGGCTGAATCCTCACACATCCAGCTGGGCTGCAGGGATGACCTGCCGTAGCTCCACCACCTACTGGGGGTTGCTAGGGCACTTGCTCTGCAGTTAATCTCACTGCCTCTCCACTCACTGCTCCCCACTCCCCCCCCCCCCCCCGTTCGCATCTGAGCAGGAGAATTCCAAAGGCCAAATCAAATTCCTCTCCAGACATATCTTTGTGAACTAAGGATCAACCCTCCCCCCGACAGGGATTGTGTATCCCAGTCTAGAGAGGTAAATGACATCCCCCCTTCTACTTCAATGCAAATATTGCTACTCGACCACTGGCAGGTACATCTCTGTCTTTCTGATCAGAACAACTAAAGATACAAGCATGGTTATGGGGCGAGGGTGGGGGAAACAATTCTCATTTACAACCAATTTACATTGTTCTAGCAGCACAAAGGGGGTTTATAGCAGGTTATGCCCGAGAGTACTTTACAAATGAGAATCAGGCCCTGCCACTCAAACCTTTCAATTTAAAGCCAATAATCTCTTTTCTCAAGCTATTTTCAACCTCCCATTTGTTAATGGTGCTAACTGAGCTGGACTATTGCGCTTGTTACTGCAAACAGTCTTTCTAAGTCAAAAGTCCAGTCAGTATTTTCCCGATCTTTTACTACTACTAATGGTCTATTTGTTTTTTTCCCCCCAGGTCGTTCCCCCTTTTTAAAAAACATATGACAGCGTCTTTTTAAGACAGCTCACTCCCATGGGAATTCAGTGTATGGTTTGTGGGCAGTATATGGCTCTCAGCAATGCTTTTGCCATTGCCTATTTCAAGAGTATCTTTATGCATTGATCATGCTGAGTGAGACTTGTAGTTCTGCAGAGGTAGCAGCTCCCCTTGCTGCCACATAAGAGGGTCCCAGGTTCAAAAGCAGGCCCAGCTCAAGTGGAGGCTGACAGCACTGGATTGCCATGGGGCAATTTATGGAGCTAACCTAACCCTTGCTCTGGAGAGAGGCATTTGTCAGTGAGGGAGAAGATGCCATGACAGCAGCAGTGGTCAGTGAGAAGGAAAAATGAATGAGCTGTGTCAACAGAATAGGTCGAATTGGTCAGACATTTTAAAAAAGGTCAGTTGCAGGTACATTTGGGGGATAGGCTGTTTTAATTACAGCTAAAAAACTCACTCGCAGCTTTCCCCAAAATTCTTAGACTATGCCTACATTTGTTTACAAAAGGGAATACTCATAAAATGTTGAAATTTCTTGTAGCAAATGTCTTTTGATCCAGCTATGAGTCTTTAAAAGTAGAAAACAGACCCACATAATTGCTTTTGAGGATACATACATGCATACACCTCTCAGAATGGTTCAAACTTGATTGGCTACAGTCTGAAGTGAAAGCCATGAACGGAACAAGAAGCAAAGTAATTTGTATCAACAATATCTAAAAAGGCATCTAATTTGGAAATGAATGACATGTATATTCTGACTCTTTAGTGCTTGTTCAGAGGAAGTGGCCTGACCGGTTTTACATAGCAGAGCTATTTAACTACCATCTTTTACAAGACTTGTGAGGGGAAAAATTAGTTATAATTGCAATATTGCTACAATAATGCTTTCCCCCTAATCGCCTTTAATTTCAAAACACACAAAAAAGGAGGTTTTTTTGCTATATGTTGTACTTCTATGCAATACAATCAATGAAAACAAAACACCAAGGACAAAACATTAAACATCCTGACTTCAACAGTCTGTCATATTTAAAAGTTTAATAAAAAAAATAGCACCACTGACTGTATATACAAGATTCATACAACGGTGTATGAAAATTCTTCCAGCACATTGGATGTAAAAATATCATTGTTGCTAACTAATTTATATATGTTGTTAGTATTGTCTCAGGCTTCTGATTGCTATTCAATTTTAATGGCTAAAAGAGGGAAAGGGAGAGGAAAGAAAGTATGTTAGGAGTAGAGCTGTGAGGAACCAATTAAATACACTTTCAAATGACAAAGTTGTTTTGAGAACAAAAACCCCAAAATGTTCCCTCCCAAGAATGTCAAAAGTGAAGTGTTTCAATAATGGTGAAATGTTTGTTTCAGGGAGGTTTCCAAAACAAAATTTTCTCAAAATCAGCAGGTTCCCATGGAAAGTTTAGATTTTGAGGAAACGGCATTTTGCAATGGAAAAAAACATTCCACTGGAAAAATTTTCACCTGCTTTCGTTTGGAGTTAGCTATATTACAGTGAAGTGAGTTTTTGGATGGAAGGAACTAAAATCTGAGAGTTGTTTTTTTTTTTAAATAAGAAAGATGGGCTACACTGAAGAACATGTAAGAAAACTAGATTGTCCTAGGATTTGCTGAGCATGACATTACAGATATATCAAGGTCTTTACACTCTTTTGGGCTGACTTTAAAAGCGGGTCAAATAAGTAGCATTATTGTAAGTAAAAGACTCAACTTTCAAAAATGCAATGGTGAACAATGAACTGTATAACCGTCATGTTGGTGTGAACACATTTATGTCCCAAGCACACATCTGGCTGAGCAGATTTTCATTCTGTGCAACCTGGACATAAAGCAATGTAGCTCCGTTTAAAGTTCTAATAGTCAGTATGTTTAGATATTAGTATATTTTATACTTAGTATTATAGGAATTTCATTCAACACATTTATTCAGGTGTTCATTTCAAAGGCATTCCAGTGTGCATACAGGACTTGTTGAAAACTGGTCAGTCATTTGCGGATCTGATGCTGCAAACATATAAGCACCTAAGTAACTTTACTCATGTGAATAACCCCAGTGAGTTCTATTAAACTACTCAGGGGATTAAAGTTATTCACATTCATATGTGTTTTCAGGAACAGGCCCTGAATTTGTACCTTTTTGTAGCAGGTTTATTCTAATGTTGCACATAAAAATGAGTTTTATTCTGCAAGACATTTTTGGTAACATTTTATTCTACATGAACAGAATTGGATGGTACCGTCTTATCACTGCCATGTAGAGGTTCAGGAATCCATTCTCTGAGACAGGTTGAGCCTGGCTATCACACAGCCCTATCTCAAAGAGTGCTAAAAAATCTGGATACTCATTTAAAGGGAATGCTGTTTAAGCTGAACTGGTGGAGGTATCCTTTTGATAAATCTCATTTTTAAAGAAGAAAATAAGAGCATATCCAACCCATAAGTAATCTACTATTTTTTAAAAATATACTCGTCCTGGCATGGCTACATAAGATGTGGACAATCATGGTTTTTTTGGTTCTTTTATGGTGCAGAAGGACATTTTGAATCCACTTAAGTCCTAAAGCTCAGCACCTCTGCATATGTGCTGAACGTTAACAAGATTACCCACAATGGCAGCTTCAGTCAGGAAATTAATCTAGAAAATCTACTTTTTAGATCCAACACAGTTGCAAATGTACAGTGTGCGTTGTGTTTTCAACTTCTTTTTGGAGAACATTTCCACTGTATTCTTTTGCTTTTTTAAAGAGTGCCACAAAATATATGGCACACAGGCATGGCTCAAGGAAGGAGGCAGACTGCTGAGAACGCCAGATGCTCTGGGAGCTATCCAACCACTCTTTGACTTAACGAGACGCAGTGTGTTGTGGCATCCTATCAGGAACACTTTCTGCATTTGGTGTTTCTAAACGGTGAACTAGTTGTCCGTGAGCAGTGATGGGTCGATCATGCTAGGAGCTTAATTTGTGTGTATACCAGACTAAAATCAAGGTGGGTCAATCACACCCTATAGAAAGCCACCATGTCATCAGCAGCTAAAGCCTGGAGTTTAGTAGGATTTTTTCCCTCTAGTGGGAAAACAAGGTACTTCAGTCTTCAGAAAAACTTTTTTTTTAACTAAAGAATTTCAAGTTTTCCAGATAGTGCAAGACGTGGGGTAGTGCCTATAAGACAACAAAAGCTGACCAAACAATGGGCATTAATCGGACCTTTTCCAGGCCTTTTATCTCATAATGCTCTTGTTCTTGGGTCTGCATTAGAACCACACCCCAGACGTTGGAAAGTTACTAATTATGCCCCAGAGGCTGACAGGTGGCTAATGAGTGACTCTTCTATAGTCTCTCATCAATCCTCAGCATGTATCAAAGCTGTATTTGTTTCCAATTTCCCACTTCTGATTACAAAAATAGGACTTACTATAATCATAATAACAATATTAATGATATAAAATAATTATTGTAATTATATACTTTTTGGCAAATTATTAACACAGAACAGCCAAAAGACCCCATTGGATTAAAAAAAGGTGAAGATGCACAAGTATTAAAAAAGACAAAGTCTTTGTTAAAAAAGAGAGAAAAACAATTCACAAGTTGATGTATTTCTGTAAGGCAACATGTTACCTTTAGTCTGCTATCTGGGATTATGTTGAGATTGGGTCACTGTTCAAGGAAATGTCAGAACTTTGCTTGCTTGAGTTTATCGATGTGGTAACAAAGTTTCAATGCTGGTCCCAATTTCAGCCCCAAGTATTTCATGATCATGTCACTTTTCAGCAACAATAAAGCATTGCCATCAATCTCCTGTTTTAAAAAAAGAGAGAGAAAATCAAGATGTATAATCTGTGACCAGTGCTGAAAAAGTAAGAGAGCAGGCATTCCATTGCAGCTAAGACAACTTCCAGCTGCATCTTCAAATGGCTTCATTCAGAGCAGAGCTGGCGGAAATTTTGTCAATTTTAAAGTTTCATCAAAGTCCATTGAAATTTAAAAGTGCCATATCAGTGCTAAGTATTAGCATGACTTCCATACATTGCATTGTTTCTGTTTGATGGCCAGATTTTGTCTATGTGATCCATGTTATACTAATGAAGCATTACTATGGATCTTAATTTGCATGGACCATTATTGTGCTTACTGCTGATCCACAGTACGATCACTTTCTGATTCACTCAATCAGCAGTTGATGGTCAATTTATACTCCCTACCCCTCCCCCCCCCATATTGGAAACCACTTTCTCCTTATCTCTTCTTCCTATCATTTTAGGCAGGTAAGACAAAGGAAGAATCAATGTTGCATTCAAATATGGATACAACAAACACGGGCATAACATAAAGAAAAACAAACTTCTGGAGCTTAGAATAACGTAAAATAAAATATTGTCAAGCGATTAGAGTGAATTCGGCTTTTTCAAAATGTTAATGAGGGTCTTTTTTCCCCTTTAACATTATTATAGTATGTAAGGGTTGGAATTAAATTACATGACAAGAGTGTGCCAGAGGGAGCATTCATATTTAATTAAATATCCTGCAATAGCTATGTCCCTCTGAAGAAAAAGTATGTTTGCTTCATTTCTCTTTATTAATACTGTGTCAGCGCTTATAAAAATATACTGCAGAATTCTATAGTAGTGATCTAAAACTCTGCAATAGCGCTATTAGAAGATGCAGGACCAGATCCTTAGCTGGTGTAAATCACTGAAGCCAAGGGAGTGAGGTTGACTTACACTAGTTGAGGTCTGGCCTACAGTAATTTGGATCATTACTGTAGACTCCTGGAGTGTTTTTATAAGGGATTGGGAGCAAGAAACGACACAGGTTTCTCAAGTACATTTGGAGTTAGTGAGCAGCTTCCAGCTGCAATAGGAAAGTATTATTGTATTAAGGCTTGTTTCTGCAAACACTTATTCCTGAGCATATTTCTCAGCAAGGTGAGTGGTCCCTAAAGGGGCACTAACCCCGTGGGGTTGATTCACTAGGACTATCCGGAATATCTGGTGCTATACTCAGTAATGAGGGTTGCAGGATCAAGCCGCTAGTGAATAAAAAGATTAAAACAGCAAAATGAGACCGCACCTCCCACTTCAGAAGCTAGAAATGTAGGCTTCCCCTCCCAGTAAGGTCACCCTCTCCAAGCACTGTTGAGTGGTAAGCTAACGGGAACAAAGCTAAAATAATCAATATGAAGAAGGTCTAGAAAACGATATGTGCTCACAATTACAATATCCGTCACTGGAAGAGGCAGGTTATAATTCTGAATGAACAGGTTTAATTACCTTAAACATAAAGGTTTTAGTCTCCTTCACATATGCATTTGCCAATTACTGACCATAATTAAACTATCAGAGCGTTGCATTGCTTTGCTCCCTCTAGGTTTGATTTTGCTACTTGTTAATTCTCCATGTATTCCTCCCTCATGTACTATCCCCCGCAAACTCACATTCTTTCTCTCTCTGCTGGGTACCACTTTTGCTCCTTTCTTCTTGCTGAGAGGTCATTGCAAAATGGCTCACACTCATTGCCAGAAGTGCTACTGCGAGAGAGGTGTGCAGCTGATGGTCTCACACCAGTTCTGCCCCCTTCAGTGACCCTATCAATTATGGGCTAGATTCCTCTCAGCCTGGACCCTGTTGCAGTGGCTCCGGATGCAGAAACATTCCATGGGAGATGCTGCAGTGCAGAAAACAGCCCGGGAGGTTGGGGGATTCGCGGATTCAGTGCACACCCTCAGTAGTCACTTTTGACAGAGTTACTGCAGAATCTTGGCCACAAGCAAGAGCTGCCTTCCTACGTGGGAAAAACACAAGGGAGGGCTGTGACGGTACCATGCAATGCCCTCCCTGTTGTGGAGACAGGGGAGTAGACTGGCTCAGGGGGATTATCTCTCGCTACAGCTGTTTAGGTGAATTTGGCACAGTAAGTGTAAGTCAATCCCCAATCCCTGATGGTCACTTTAAATATAACAGGGCAAGTACTGTCCTCATTTGCTTTTGCTTTTCCCACTTTCTCCTTATTGTACCTCCCTGCTACAACGGTGGTGTCATGACTAAGATTAGTTGATTGCTAAAGCAATGATTTTAGGTGCTTGTTGGGGCTGTCAATGACATTAAGTGCTTCAAAGTAAATTATGCTTCATAGAAAGATTTAACACACAGGAAGATATGGCTAAGGTTAATGGACTAATCACTTGTCTCTCCCCTCTGGGGTCTCCATGCTAATCCAGCTTAGATTAGAAGGTTGGAAAATTGCAGGGGTATATATTTTTTCAAAGGCCTAATTGGATTGAGTTGTGCAGTAGCCTCACAAAAGCTCTCAGACCTATTGCATATTTTACAGTGCAACTGTCTCTAAGTATATACAACAGGTGCTAGGTGCTTTCCAATGGACGATGTGGAAAATTTTAGTGCCCATTTAGCTGGGTCTCTTTTGTCACAAATACTGTAGGACTATGGCACCACATAGAATCCGACAGCGTAGTCCACCTAGAGACTGTTGTGTCAATGCACCAGGCTCCATGCTGTATAAGACAAGATAATGTCAGAATCTGCTATATATGCAATAACAAAACAAAAAACGCCCTGGCGTTTTTGTACTAGGGAGACTTGTAACTTCCTAAACGCTCTTCTTTCTGGGACAAGGCGAGGGGGTGAAGAATAGCAGGGAAGGTCTACACATGTTTCTGCGATCCTCCGTCACATTCACACCCACTTCCCCTGATTTGCATCCCCCGCCCCAGACTCAAAACCTTCTGTCCAGGCAAGTTTCTTTCAACCCGCAGATGGCTAAACTGTGTTGTCTACATTGCTGGTTTATACCATGGTTTTGTCAAATGGTTTATAGGAGAGCCATGCCCTGTCTGTAATGGACAAGGAAACTAAAGTTAGCTCCTTACTGGCCTGAACTTCATTTAAACACAGTGCTGGAGCTAATTAAGATATGGCCTTAAACTCCCAACCCAGGGGATTAGCTATAGAATGACGTAAGGCATTGCTTCCCTCCAGGGGTTGAGAGAGCAATTCCTCCACACATTACTCTCAGTCTCTGCTGGCACGAATCACCCGGTTGGACCTAGAAGTTCTTTTAATTTAGAGTTAAATTCCAACACTTAGATGTTAAGATCAGCCGTGTCTTGTAAGCCGCTGAGCACCAGCAATTCCCTCTGCAGCCAATGGGCGTTGAGGATGCTCATTGCCTGTAGTCAATGACCTGTAGACTTAGCCCAGATAGCCTGGTTACACCATGGACTGCCTCCTACGTACATGTTTTCTGAAAAGCTCCACGTGTGGACCTAATGCATGAGGGTCTGCATCCTTCACAAACCAAACCACGTCATCGACAGTCCAGGTCGAAGGGTTCTTGCTTGATGGCCGAGCTGTATCTTGTCTTTCCGGCGAAGGACTTGAGGCTATCGATATAAAAAGCCCATAACAGCATGTTACAACTTAATACCAGTTAACTTGTTTTGAGAGCACTCAGGAGTAGGGCAGCCTTGCGTGGTTGCTACAGCGTTGCAGTTTGGGCTGGTGTGTGTGTGTTGGGGGGAGGTATTTGACTGCTTACTAGGAGACTCGATCCCAGCTGGTGAATTGTGTTAAAAACGATGAAATACTCAGTCTCCTGCTGGGGAAGGAAAAAACGTACCAGCTGCCACGCTCTTAACAGAGCAGCCACTGCTGTCTGATCTGCAGGCAGCAGGGATATTGGCTCAAGAAGGCACTGCTCACCCAACACCTGGAGATAAAACACCACAGCACTAAACAAAGGAATTAGCCACCCCGTGCAAAGGCTTGAGGATGAAATGGGGATTTAGCAAATTGTTTGCTCTTAGCGTTCAGATATTTTGACTTATCCTGCAGCTTAAAAGAGCATTTCCATTTGATATCCTCCTAATCTCGGGCTCTCACGAAGCTGAAGGTCCCCAGTGATTGCCTATTTGGAGAGCTACTAAAATGTGTGAAGATGAACGTTGCACATGTGACTTCTTAATGGTATAAGCCCAGGATGATTTAAGGTCACTTCAGCCTATTCCAGCTTTAAATCAAGGCAATAAAGGCACATTGGAATGAAAGTGCATTTATGTTTTTATTCCTAGTCTCTGCAGAATTATAAATCTCAGTCACCACGTGTATGCAACCTGCCCCCCACACCCTCTTCATGCTGCTGCACTATTTCCAGAGCTATGTGATGACATTAGCTTACAGGAAAGCTGTTTACATTTGTTTATAGCTACACAATGCAAACTTCACATTAACTGGAGGCAGCATATAGACTCATAACACGTTAGTAGCCAAAACCATCTCGTCTCTCTTTGTTAGAGCAGAATTTTTAATGAGTAGATATGAACAGTAAGAGACCAGGCACAACAGAAAAAGAACAGAGCAGGCAGGGGGAGATCAGAAATACCTGACGAGTTGAAAAAATGGAGGCCAGAGAAGCCCAGAGTAGTCAAGAGGGGAATCAGAGAGGCTCAAAGTGGCTGATTAGAGAAGATCTGAGACGTCCAAAGAAACACTGAGCTTGGAAAAATGTCTAAACTCTGTAAGAATCCCAGGGACCAGTGAGAGCACTATAAATACATGTGAGCAAATGGAATGGGCTGGATCAGCGGCTCATGTAAATTGGTATCCCATGGACTTCAATGGCGCTCTGCTTATTTGCACCATTGGAGGATCTGCCCCTACAAGCCGGATCCCTGCATAAGGTCCAGGCTGTGCATACTGGTACTTTTTTGCCACCCTAAGTATCTCCCAGTGTAACATAATTAGGTATATTTTTGCAATTATGAAAGATGGATTCCAATAAGCAGCAATACTATGGGTGTGCAAATCTGATTGATGGGGCTTGGTACTGGGATATGATGTAAATATTGTGATAATTATACTCTCATTTACTAGGTCACTCTTTTGGATATACAGGACAGAGAGTAGCTGCAGGTCCTCTAATTAGACTGCTAGTGTTCATGTTCATATGGAATCAGGCAACTCTGGGCTCCACTAGCAGAATAAATGCAGTGCACATCTGGGATCTTTGGCATGAAGCTGTGAAGACAAAGCACGCCAAACGAATGGTATAATCTCTGCCAACCATCGGATGATCAATAACATAGAATATGTTGTCAGGGACAAGCGAAAGAAACAGGATGCATCTTGGAGGCAGAATTTCAGCTAGGCAGAAATAGGTTCTCGTTATCTTAGCTGAAAACATCACCAATTTCTATCCTGCTTGATCAAAGTGGAGCCTTGCTTTCAGTCTAATCCAGATATAGGCATGTATGTGGAGATACCTAGAAACTGCCAGTTGGCTGTTCAAATGGACTGTCAGCAGCCAGGGCAGACTTTAGGTTTTTACTCTGAAAAGGGTGGTGAGGCAGTGGCGCAGGGAATTGGATACACCTAGTGAATTTGAGAGGGAAGTTTCTTCCCTGACACTATAAACTGTAGAAGACGATGACCTTGATACTGCTCCTGCTGGGTGATCTAGCCTTCATTGTGCTGAATGAGCATGAAAATGAAAACGGCAGGCAAAGCTCTGCTTTCTATTACACCAGTGTACATGAGGGCAGAGTATGGCCCAGTGACGTGCATTGCTTCCAGAAATGCCATGGAAGGGCAGAGGAGAACAGATGGCCCACTGGGAACAGCAGGAAGTCTTTAACAGTATTAGCCATTTCTCTAATAAAAGGAAGGGGGAGGGTGGAGAAAAGAGGTTGAAATGACAAGAGAATTCAACTCACCCCTGACAGTGAAACAATCAATAAGTTGAAGCTAAGGTTTTTAAGATAAAATATAAATGACCCCTTTAAGGAGACCATACTGGTAGAACTCTTCAAGGAATCTGAAAAGCGCCAGAAGTTTAAAATCACTCTTTCAAATTTCAAATCAATAACAGAGCACTGATTTAAAAACAATTAACTGTTTTTTTTCAGATATTAATATTTGAAATCCATTTCCCCCTGCACTTCTCTGCTACAACCCGAATTCAGGGTTATGTGCTTCTCTGACATTAGTTAATGACATCACAAGCACCTATAACAGATTATTTGCTGACATTGTCCTGTTTCAGAGCCAATTTACCCCTATTTATTTTACGGGGTTTATCACAGCAGTACAACCACCTCATATGAGTAAGCATTAAAGTAACAGGGCCTTGTTGAAACTGGGATACCATTAATTTGCACACAGAATCCAGAACTCAGGTCTTGGTAAGCAAGTACTGGAAGCTCAGTTTCCCATATGTTTTAGAACATTTTTCAAGCTTTCCACTCTGGCCATATAGTCTATTGATCTGGGAACCTTAACCCCCCCCCCCCATAAACGTCTTCATTTACAAAAAACTTAATTTCAACAGGACTTTATTACACGTTATACAAGGTGATTTGGTAACATCATTTTGCTGGAAGAATCCTACATTATAAACAAAATTGTTTGATGGTTGTATGATAAGTACTGTACTTTTTTGTGTCTGAAGGTACTTGCACTTAATACAGGGTTTAGATAAATGAAGAAGTCTCATCTCTCATGGGTATTTTATGCCATCCTGTCATCAGAATTAATCAAGATGTTAATGAATACTCAGATTACAAAGAGATGTGAATGCTCAGAACGAATAATTATTTTTAGAGATCATAATCTAGGTCAAATCCAATTTCCCATTTTTGACAGGTGGCAAAAAATTACCAAATTAATGGAATGGGATGTGGAAAGCTAGGCAATGAAAGGGAGGGAGAAGAAAGCACTTCTCATTCATCCTAAAACCAGATGATGTGGAAGAAGAGGAATTGATCCTATTTAAACAACCTATTCTTGGAAAGTCCATGGCAAAAATACATCAGAAACAGGGAATAGTTGCTGCAGAAGAGAAGCAGAATGGTATGTGCCAAGGAGGCTTTCAGCAAGAATTCTGAGACTCATGGACAATATCTAACACCTACTGAAGTCAATGGAAAGACTCCTGCTGACTTCAGTGAAATTTGGATCAGGCCCGTATGCACCACCTTGGGGTGACCAAGCCCAAGGGTTCTCTGCCCCATTTGTCCTTTTCTTTAACTCTAGTTTTTTGGCCTTCCTTCTGGGCCTGGAGCCACCCGAAGAGGATGATGAAGTGGTGTAAAGCCCAACAACTAAATTGGTGTCAAAATATAGTAAAGAAACATAATGCAGAAACTGAGATAAAAATAGCAAAAGAAGGGAAGATAAATAATGTGCTCCTTAAATACATATAAGGCAAACATACAGGCCCAGGAGAGATTAAGGCCATTGAAAGATAAGAGTGCAAAGTGAGTGATGGATTATCTTTAATATTGCCATGGGCCTAAATGATTTCTTTGCCTCAGAGGAAAGGGGTGGGAATGAAATCTGAAAAGCTTCCCTCTCATTGCCCTGGAACAGATAATAAGGGAAAGTAGATCTACTGAAAGTAAACAAGACTAGCAGGCAAAGAATTCTCAAAGATATATCAAGGAAACATTTTTTAAAAGCTCACTATAGACTGGGGTAAAAAAAAGTATGGATAACATACTTTAAAAAAGGGACAAGACATAACAGAGGGAGCACAGAACCATCAGAAACGTGGGAATACAATTACAAATTATTTAAGAGGAACAGTCAAATTTAGGAAGATCCATGAAAAGATAGCTCATGTTTGACCTGTCTACTCAAATTATACATCTCGGTGGTTCCCAGCTCAGGGCTACCATATGTCCGGATTTCCCCGGACATGTCCGGCTTTTCGGTCTATAAATAGCCATCCGGGGGGGATTTCTAAAAATCTAAAAATGTCTGGGATTTCCCCCCCGGTCGGCTATTTATAGACAGAAAAACGGCGGCCAAGCACCGCTCGGCAGCCAAAGCCCCTTCCCTGCTCCCCCCATCCCCTGCAGCCCCTGCAGCCTTACCAAGCCATCTGGCCCCGCAGCTGTCTTCCTCCTCCTCCCCTCCCCTGAATGCTCCGCCCCCCTGCACCTCCCCCTCCCCTGCTTCCCGTGAATCAGATCTTCGCGGGAAGTCTGAAAAGAAGTGGGGGCAGGCGGGCGGCAGCAGCAGGTAAGCTGGGGCAAGGCGGGGAGGAGAGCTCCGGGGAGGCGTGGCCCTGGCTGAGCGGCTCTGGCCCTGGCCCCAGCGGCTTGGGCCCACTCGGGCCCCAAGGTGGCAGCCCCAGTTCCGGCTGAGCGCGCCAGCCCGGCCCCGGCCAAGCAGTGCCAACCAAGCACCCCTGGCCCCAGCCGCTCTGGCCCGGCCCAGCTCGGGCCCCAGGGTGGCGGCCCCAGTTCCGGCCGAGTGCGCCGGCCCAACCCCGGCCGAGCACCTCCGGCCCGGCCCCAAGTCTGCGACCCCGGCCAGAGCTCTGGCTGGAGCACAGCCCGATTCCTGGGCTCTTTAAAGCCGGCCCTGGTCAGGGGATGGGGGG